ATATAAACTTTTTCCTTGTTAATTTCATAATTTTTCTATGAATAACAGATCCATAGATGCCATTCTTATTCAGTCATATGTTACATGAGTCATTTTCATTTAGTTCAGCTTATGATTTCCTTGTTTGCTCTTGAGCTATCTAGATTTTCATTCATTCTGATTTTATCTGGAAAGCTTATTTTTTTACTGTTTCTTGTAGTTTCTGGTTACCTTTATTCTTCTAGCTTGCAAGAAATATAAGCTTGTGAAACATAAACTAATTTTAAAACTTAGATTCGTTCCTTCTTCTTAGCCTTTAATTGTATAGTAATGTACTTTTGGCATGAGGATCGGGGATTTAGACTGCATCATTTTAGTATAGCTTGATTCCTTGTTTCCTTTGTGAATAGACTGAACTAAGTATTTGGTTCATTGTATTTGTATGTATTCTTCTTCTAGAGGATAAGGGGATTCTATGTCATTGGTTGTGGTTAAGTTTCTGTCTTTGATTTTGGCATTAGTTATTTTCCTTCTCAGAATGTAAATCTGGTGATCTATAAAGGGTTTCATTTTCATTTAGGTTGATGTTGGTCTGGAGTTCATTTAGTTCTATTTCATGTTTTTCTTAGCCCCATTTGTTTATTGGTTCCTAGTATGCTGTTATGGTTAGCTGTGGATCATCATATATTGTTGCTTAACCTTTACTTCTAGAATTTAATTGTGTGGCACTTCCAATTTATCTCCAGGAATTTATTAGAATCTTTTTTGTCAGGGTTGAATTTCTGATATTCTCATGGTTTTGTACTATGTCTTTTCGTATAACTTAGAAATGCCTTGCTTCTCCATGAGCTTAGCTTAGTGAATAACTTTTGCGAAGTATCATGAGAAAATCAAGCTCTACAGTGTTTTCTGGGTTTGATTTCACTGTTTCTGTTATATCAGTGGAACTTTCACGTGAATTTTATCTGAAATGATAATTTAATTGAATGTTTATAGGTGATCGTGCTGTTTTAGGTCAATTTGTTCTTCTGTGGTTGAATTAGATACTCATGCATAATTATATATCTTAAAATCAAACTAATTTTTTGTGGTGATGTCAAGAGTTTCATTCAGGAATAAGTTGGTTTTCAAAGGAATGATGTGCTTGATAAGAACTTCTGTTTTCTTTCTTTTTTTTTCCAATTCCATTGCTAGAAAGTGAATAGGATATTGAAAGTAATCTCTGCTATTTGAGTCATATATAAAGTGCATGATCTCAATATAGGTCTTTCAAGAGAGGGGTTTGTAAAATTTATAAGTTTTTTGTGAATAGCTGATCCAGAGATGCCATTCTTATTCACTTATATGTTTGTGAAGTCATTTTGATTTAGTTTAGCGTATAGTTTCCTTGTTTTCCCTTGGGATATCTAAGTTTTCATTCATTCTGATTTTATCTGAAAAGCATTAGCTTCATTTAGGGGATTGCTTGTTTTGTGGAGTAAGAATCGCATCTTTTTTCCCTACATTCTCATGTAGTTTCTTGTTACTTTGTTCTTCTAGCTTGCAAAAAATATAAGCTTGAGAAATATAAAATAATTTTAAAACTACGTTAGTTCCTTCTTCTTAGCCTTTAATTACATTATAATGTACTTTTGACTTGAGGGTTTTTTTTTTTTTTTGGTGGGGTTAAAGGTTAGATTGCATCATTTTAGTATGGATTGATTCCTTATTTCTTTTGTTAATAGGCCACACTTAGTATTTGGTTCGTTGTATTTGTATGTAATTTAGGGCTTCATTTTCATTTAGGTTGATGTTGGTCTAGAGTTCAACTAGTTTTATCTTGCGTTCTTCTTGGCACCATTAGTTGATTGGTTTCTAGTAATAGCATTCTGTTGTGGAAATTTATGGATCATCATAAGCCGTTGATTTAGCTTTGCTGCTAGAATTTATTTATTTATTTTTTTAATTTTGAGTAGAAACATCAATTTAATTTTGTGTGGCATTTCCGATTTATCTCTGGGTATTTATTAGAATAATTTTTTTCAGGGTTGAATACCCGATGTTCTCATAGTTTTGTATTATGTCTTCTCCTATAACTTAGAAATACCTTTCTTCTTCATGAGCTTAGCTTAGTGAATAACTTTTGATCGTAGTGGTAATCTTGGATGCCATGAACTTTATATTGCATGGATGCGCACCTTATTTGAGGGACTAGCAAATAGAACATTCATGACAGGTTTGTTCAGATCATTCTTTTATTTTCTTGGCAAAGGAAGAAAACTCTTAAATGTGTAATATGTTTTCTTAAGTTTAGAGAGTAGTAGAAAATGGTCTTGTAAACAATGTTCGTGTGCTGGTGCGACTTGGTGGTAATGCTAGCTACCATGAACTTAATCTTACATTGATAAGCTCCTTCTACACAAGATTAGAAATTCTGGACGCACAAGATTCGTCTGAAATATTTTACATTGATGGGTTTGTTGAGATAATTAGTTCATTTTTTATACAAAGGAATCAAATACTTATATGCATGATGTGTTTCTGTAACTCTAGAAATTTGAAATGGAAAACGGTCTTGCATTGCTGCTTAATCTCAACGTTTGTATGTTGGTGTGCCTTCCACATGTTGGTTATCTTCCTAAGTGAATCTTGTCAATATTGATTTAAGTTATAGCAAAATTGTGCTTTATAGTTAATCACAGATCTCCAAAGTATTCTAGATGGAACTGTGGATTTGCAAAACACCCTTTTCATTTTAAATGGGTTATGTTCATTAATTGTTCTTATAATTTTGAAATTACCTTGTGAAATTCTATGTTGAGTGTCCCATATGTGTCATGATACTTATTTGTTATACCAAATAAAGTTATTGGCTGGAGGAAAAAAGAAGAAAAAGTCTGGCAGCACCCATGCGGTCTGGGTGCCTAGGGGGGTTCCCAAGGTTCGAGGTGATCCAAACACACATGTATGTATGTATTTGCTGTGTATATTTAAGCATCACTGAAATATCTACAAAATCCTCGGTATTGGAAGAAGTGTGGGGTTGGTGAATATATCACATCCCAACCTTTCTTTCCTTCCGGATAACTGGAATAGCTCAGCTTATTCTGTTAATGATTCCTTCTGTTCCGGTATTGGGAATCCAATTCAATCGTTTGTCGTTCTAGAATGAATCGAACCCTTCATGACTGATTGTCCCAAACAGAATCCGGTAAAAAAGAAGTGTTAAGCAACTTGTTTATCTCATATCATAAATGTCGAAGTATCATTAGAATAAAAAAAGTGTTGTTTATACACCATTCCATTCCGTCAATTGGATACAACAAGGGTAATCTGGTGCAACGAACAAGAATAGTGGGGTGGGAATAGTGAAAATATACAAAATTATATTAATGTTAGCTATATATATATACAAAATATATATACCTGAACGCTAAAAAACACATTGACATCATTAAATGGCATTTTGCAATTGCAAAAAATTATTATTTACTCACCAATGTAAGATTAACTTAACTAACTAAAAAGTAACAATCATAGAGAATTAACTTCTAAAATATATAACATTGCTATTTTTCAAATAATAGAAGTACTCAAATTTACATATAATAAAAGTACTCAAATACTGAAGAACTGAAATGAAACACATGTCCACCACATGAAGTCCACAATTCATTGATTCCAATCTCCATGCACATTCAAAAATCTAAAGTTCCAATTTCCAAATCACGATATAGTAAAAGTCATAAGAGTAAAATGATACAAAAGAAGTTAAAAAAAGAATTTAGTCTTTAATCTCATTAAAAGAAAAGTGAGGCTTATAATGATTTCTCAAACTTCTAAAAAATTTCAATCTCTAAAAAATTTCATAAATCCAGGGTTATTTATTTTTGGGAAAAGCCAGTCTCAAACCAACTTTGGGGGTGTGAGAATGACCCACATCCCCAACCAACCTTTTCTTTTTTTCTGGTTTTTGGAGGGTGGGGTTAGTGGGTTTCTTTTTTTAGTTTTTATTTTTTGTTTGGAGGGGTTTCTCCAGTTAAGAGGGGGAACAGGGATCCAAGATGCTACTTGCTTGAGGGCATTTTCTGCCCTTAGGCAAGGAAAAAGCCTGGGCAGCGCTTGGCCCACCTAGGCAGGCCGCCCAGGAAAGGCCTCTTGGGCCTAGATGAGCGGGGCGGCTTGGTGGCCTAGTGCTATTTGGCCCTGTTTTTTTAACATTGGTTTGGACTATCTGATCTTGAGGATAGTTCCATATTCAGTTGGCACCATGCGCTCTCAAGGAGATGTAATGACCAATTTGTGACAATGTTCCACCCTAGAACTATGGAGCTTGGGCTTTCATTTCCAGCATTACTCCCTAATGAAGATTATAATTTTACTATTTGAGTATTTCGTAATACACACTTCACGTAGAGGCAATGTCTTTATTTGCTTATTTAGTCACCTTCACAAAACGTTCAGAAATACTACTGTTTCTATAAGACACATGAATTCCCTAGGTTTTGACAATGGGTCTTACATGTCTTGTTGTAAAGTTACCAAGTGTTACTTATTTATTTGTTGATCTTTTTTGTCATTTGTCTTGTTTTATAGCATATTGTGTTGTGGCGGTTGAGTCGGTCGGAAGGCAGGTCCCTATGGCTTGTCTGGAGCGTATCAAAGAAGATTTCACTAAGAGATATGGAGGTGGCAAGGCAGCAACTGCTGGAGCCAATAGCCTCAACAAAGATTTTGGGTATTGCTTGTTAATTCATGTGGTTAAAATATATATGGTGCTTATTATCCAGTGCTATATTTATGGAATTGTTCTTAATGTTTCAGGTCAAAATTGAAAGAGCATATGCAATACTGTGTTGACCACCCAGAAGAGATAAGCAAGCTCGCGAAAGTGAAGGCACAGGTTTCTGAAGTTAAAGGTGTTATGATGGAAAACATTGAAAAGGTGAATAGCCGACTTTCCAATATAAGCTAGCATTCTGCATCCTGTTTGCTCTAAATGGAAGATGAGGCCATCTTCATGAGATTATTATTTCGACAGGCTTACTTCTCTGCAGTATATACTGCAGTAGAATATTTTAGATGATGCACTTTTATTTAATCCCTGCTTCATTTCAAGCATGCTTCTGCATAAGTTTTCCTGGTCAGGGGACTGGAGTGAATAGTATTTTAAGATTTGCTTTTATTTCTTTGTATTCAACAGAGACAGGAACTTAGGGCTTGGGACGATTTACTTCTGTGAGAAATAAAACTAAGCAGATAAACCAATCTGACCTTGTTATGAAGCTTACCACTATTATTAAATTTCAGAATATTGAAGTCCTTTAGCAAGCCTGAGTATAGAACCACTTCATATATGATTTGTTGTTTTCCATGGATTGTGTATGGGCGTTGGGGCTTTGTCCTTGATCAGAATATGTCTGGACATGCAGCCAAATATTATTGTGATGACTCCTTAGGCGAACAATGAACATTTAATTTTCCTAAGAACAGTTGTGATCTGTGCAGCTGTTTTAGAAGTCCTGTTTGTGAGTCGTCATTTGTGAACTAGCAAGGTTTTCTGGATGCTCTGTATGCATTCTTTGCTGATGAGAATGATATGGATGCTTAATCAACTTTTTGCGGGAATCGGGATAGATGGAAGTTTAGAATTCACTTGTTATACTTTAAATCTGTAAACCTTCTAGACCAAATTTATCATGGTCCAGTGCAAATGACTTCCTATTGAAATGTGCTAGTTTTGAGTGAAATAGAGACACTTTTTGGTCAATCTGAAATTTATTGATGCCATGTGATTAGCTTTGTATTTCCTTAAAAAATTTTGCACATTCACCTTAGCTTGGCAGAAATGTAAAATTTAAATTTCTCTAACATATACACATTAGAGCTCTGCTAGTGTTGTTAGAATTTGAATCCGTTGTGAGGCTTTTCAATCAAACTTTTGTCAAGTTTCAACTTCTAATGCTACCATCTTTTTCTTTCTTTTAAGATTTTGTTTTTTTGTTTTTTCGTTATCTGTATAGATATCATTAACAAGGCATAGAATAAGTAAACATGAGAAAACAATTAAAAAAATATAGAATGATAAAGGTAGAGAACCTTGTCTTCCTATAGGAATTGAGTTTTCAATTGTTGATGAGATTGACTAGTATTCTTTGTACATTTTGCATCCGTTGTACAACTACACATATAGATCCATCTTCCTTGATGCTAATATGCTATTTGCTGAGTAGAGCTATGATGTGAAAGGAGCTTGGGAAATTAAATCTGGTCTTCTTTCAATCTTAAACAAGCAAAATTTAGCAACTATGGAGAAAGAAACAATGGCTGTAAATCAAGCCAAGGGAGGATGAAGCTCTCTTTCTTCTTTCATAAATTAGCTTTTACAAAAAAAAGGTTTCCGAAACACATAAGCCTCTCCCTCTTAAATACAAAACAAAATGCCTTAAGAAAAAATAATAAAAATAACTCTCTTTCTCTCTCCCCTATGTATTTCTCTTTCTCTTCTCTCTTTACATCATGTACCACTTATTAATTTTGGATTACTCCCATGTAAAATCCATGCAAATTACCCCCTTTCCCTGATGAAAGGTTTTGACAAAATTTTATGTTGGCTGCCCACCTAACACAACGATGCCCTTTTATGCAGGCATGGGATGGGTTTAAGGGAAATTTTACCCGGGCATGAGATGGGTCATGCAAATTACCCCCTTTCCCTAATTCTCCTATTGTTTCTCTCCTATATCCTCGTTTCTAGGAATTTTATCTGACCTTCACATGACCAACCCTCTACCGATCTACTTATTCTAGCTTAGCTAACAATCCTCATCAAAGTAGGACAATGAAATCTTAGAAACTAGGAAAGCGTCCTACACCAAAAAAAAGGAAATTAAAACCCTTTAAAATTTGCCCATGACAAAATAAAAATCCCTTTTTAACCACCTACATGTATATTTCTCAAAACTAATCCCAACAATTATAAAAATAAATAAACAAGTCCAACCACACACCCTATAAAGAAAAAAAAATTCTAACTAGCCCAATTTCTGAACATCTCAAATGGAATTTGCATCAAGCTAAGTTTGCTTCCTTGAGTTTTCACTATGAGTCTGCCCATTTTCTTAGTGAGGCAAACATCTGTCCATTTGATGACGTGGATCTTAATACTTATTGGCTATTAGTTTGTAATTTTCAAATTGGAAACCCTAGATTTAGTTCACATGGGGCTCTAATTTATCTTTAGGACTTTGTAAGTTTGGTTTTGGTTGGAACCTTTGTCGTATCCCTCCTATTGTATTCAAGATTGATGACCTTTTTTGTTTTCTTTCTTTGAAAAGTTGACAGCATATTTGTATTGCTGTACCAAAAAATTTACAATGTAAGGCTTGGGCCCGGATAAAGTGGGCTGCTGTGAGATTATATACAAAAGCAGAGCTCTGGATGAGAATTCTTGTATGAAGTATGGAACCAAAAAACAAAATAACAAAGTAGTATTTAAAAAAAACACAAAAAAAAAAAAAAATACCAAATACCAAAACTGGGGAGCCTGGCTGAAAGGGATTAAGAAGGTTTCCACTGGAAACTTGTGCAGCCGCTCCTCCTTTTGCAAGTGCATCCCGCTATAGTTGCCTTCCTGCCATGTATGCTGAAAGGAGATATGAGTATGCCTGCAAAGGAGTTAAATATCTGCAAAGATGTGCTGCAAGTGCCACGGGCAGGTGGAAGCACCTTAGGCCATGCAATGACATTTTCTGAGTCTCCTTGAACAACCAAGGAGTCCCTTCAATTGTGCTTGTACCTCTTGATGCTCTTGAATAGTGCTATTGTTTCTCCCTTGGTGGCATCAGCAATGCCAATATGGCCGGAGTACGAGTGAAGGATGTTATTATTATGGTCTCAGAAAAGGCCTCCAACACCTGTGGGGCCCAAGGTTGCCAAGGGAGCAACCATTAAAATTAAGTTCTGTGATTGGTCTCCAGGGGTCTCCTAAGGGAGGACTGGGAGATACATTCAGGCCTTGTTAACGACATGTTTTTCCAACTGTTGAGGAAGTCAGTGGTCGAGATTTATGGTTATGAGCCCATAAGGTAAATCCCCAGGAGTGGCGGTCAAGCCTGACTTTAAAAAAGCTTACGATCATGTGGAGTAGACAACAGTCGATGAAATTGTGTCTAAAATAGGCTTCGGGCCCACTTGGAGGAACTGGATCAAAGGTTGCACCTCGGCATAACAATTTGGATCCTCATCAATGAAATGCCTAAGGGCTTCTTCCCCTCTTCCAAGGGGCTCCAATAAGGAGACCAACTATTTCCTTTTCTGCTTGCCTTGGTAGCCGGTCTACAGTAGAACCTTTGGGAGGCTGTTTTGGTACAGCCTCCGAAAAGGTTTCAAAGTCAGCAGTCATGGTCAAACTATTTTGCACTTGCAATATGCCAAGGACACCTTGATCTTTCGTGGAGCCTATGAATAACAGTTGGGTACTTGTGGTTATACCTTAAATTCCTCAAGCTTACCACTGGCCTCAGAGTAAACCTTGCTAAATCCAAACTTATGGGTTGCCAATTGGGTTGTGGTGTGGATAATCTCCTTAACCCTGGCTTGCCAATTGGGTTGTGGTGTAGATAATCTCCTCACTGAGACCTCGGCCTCCCACTAGGCTTTGTTAAACTGAACAAGCAACAATGGGCCAGGGTAATGTGGCGAGAGTGAACACAACCGTGACTAGGAAACCATCTGGGCTAGGAGCTTTACCCTTGCTGAGATCTCTAATGGTTTTAAGGATCTCGTCTTTGGTAAAGGTCTCTTGAGCCATCTTGCCCTATCCTGGAGGAGGGAGAGAAATGACACATCGTTCATATTGGATATTGGGGTGGCTTTTACCGAGAAAAGCTTCTTAAAGAATTTGTCGTATGCTCTTTCAACTGTTTCTGGTTGGCTGAAAGTGTGACTACCAACTGTAATGTGGGTGATTATGTTTTTGCTGCGTCTATGGTTGGCAATCATGTGGAAGAACTTGGTATTCCGGTCACCAAACTTAAGCCATTTGGTTATGGATCTCTGGTACCAGGAGATCTCTTCTTTCCTGAGAATAAGGTGGTTCAATTGAGCTTGAGATCTGCTCTCTCACTCTGCCTGGGAAAGCTCCGTGGTCTCTTCAAGAGAGTCAAGTTCAACTCTGTGGTTTAAAAGATCCTTCTTGGTGGGTTCAAACTTGCCTGCTAGATCCTTACTCCAATGGGGATCTCTTTAAGTAATTAATGTTTTCTCTGGAATTTGAACCCCACCTAACCTGAGCCAGTGAAGGATTTCCACCATTGGCACCAGGGAGAAGAAGTTGGCCTCTTTGAGCAAGGATAGCTTGAACCAGAAGGGCCTAGCACCTGTGGATCCCAGAGCAGTGTTATGTGTCTATATTTTAGGTTGGCTTGGGTAGGGCTAAAGAGCGGGTCCCATGAAAGAAATCATCTCAGTCAGGAGAAATGAGGAACCGATAAATTTTGGAAAGGGAGGGGGAGTTCGAAGGGTTTGACCAGGTAAAGTTTGCTCCATTCAGTGGGATTTCAAGGAGGTTGTTTCTAAAGATGAAATCAACATAGAGCTAGTGAGGTTATGATTCCTGTTTCTCTCATGGGTTTCGACCTCGTGACATTGACCTATTCATCACGGCTTTGGGTTGCTAGGGGCAGCGCTGTCCAATTTGTCCCACGATTGCTGTCTAAGTGTGTGGATAGAGGCTGTAAACTGCCGAGAACAGCAAAGGGGTCCTGTTCAAGACACGAGAAAGGGAGATGGTCACTGAGTGGGACGCTATGACAGCATCTAAACGTTGGTGAAGGCTTGGGTCCCAGACGACCCGAATACCTCCTGAGGGCCCCTGGTATCGTGAGCTTCCCATTGACAGGGCCTGTGGCCCTACACTTTGCGGATATAAAAGTGGCTATGGGAGGACCGCTGAGTCTCGAGGAGGGCTAGCACATCGGGGGATAACTTTCCAGAAAAGGCTAGGATGGCCTTTTCTTTTCTTGGGGTCGCCCATGCCCTTGATATTCCATACATTGATCTTCATTAAGGATCTGGTGTTTGGCTTTTTGTTTTTTTTTTTGGGGTGGGGAGGAAGGGGGGGTGGGGGGGTTGGGTGGGCGTGGAGAAGACCACCTAGTGGTTGGCCAGCCAGGGAAGGTGAGCCAGGAGAGGGGTTCAAGGAGGAGCCAGGATCTACTCTGTTGAAGCAGACCCCAAAGGCGAGGTTATGTACCTCTCTAGTACCTTTATCTTTTATCTTAGCAGCGTTGGCTCTAAGAAATTCTCCAATGTCGGCCTCGTAACCTTCGTAACACAGAGGCATGGCTTTGAGGACTTTGTTGATGTTCCCTTGGGATTGTGCTCTGTTTATCCTCTTATCTCATCTGAGTCAGTAAGTAGCATGATTCTAACTCTGATTCTTTGGACAAAACGAGGTTCGAATAGGAGGATATAACCGGATAGTGGGGTTTGTATCAGAGTGTGGAACCCTTAGAGGTTGGAACAAATGGACCCATGGCCTATTGGACAGGATGTGCCTCTCATGTTAGGAACTCGGCGTGAGGAGCTTGGATGTTGACACTGGAATGGCCAACTTACTGTGCATGGGGCCTAGACGAGGGGGGCAAGGGTATGCCTGTGATGCTGGGGCCAAGATGTGAGGCTTGAAAGGGTGGAGGTGGGGAAGGAGGCGATTCCAGGAGAGGAGGTCCACAGGGTGAGAGGGAGTTGTCCCAGACTTCGAAGTCTGCAGGACCCATGTAGGTTCCATGTGAGGGGGTTTGAGGGTGCAGTAGGGTGAAAGGGGTTGATAGCGATGAGGGCATAGGGATGAGAGGGAAGGGCATGAGGGAGGGGTTTGAGGGGATGTGGTGTAGGAGATGAGAAAGCCAGCTTCCCGTGGGGCAGGTGGTTGGGGGGTTGGATGGGAATCATGGGCGAGGGAAGACTTCTCTCAAAAAAAAATTCATGGGAGAGGGAAGACCAGACTGAGTGGCAACCACTGGATGATTGGACACCAATGCTAGTGGGCAGGAAACTTTGTATACTGCAGCTAAGGGGCCTGGAGCCCCCCCTCTCCCTTGTGGGAGAGGGTAGGCAAAGCGGAAGCCTAAGGAGCCCTAGCTGAGGGAGCAGGCTTTCAGGGGTGAGAGGGAGAGGGATTGTGTCGGTGAGCCTAGTGGTGGGGGGGAGAGAGAGGAGTATTCCGAACATGAGTCACTTACATTCTTAATTTTAATCTGCAGAATGAACAAGGTGAGCACATTTGAAGGTGTATCCCATGGCATTTGATGACCTTTTTAGGTGTAGATGCTCTGCCTCAGTTTCTCTTGGTCCATTGGATCAAAGTTGATTGTTGACAGTTGACACGGTCCATCCATCCAGAAGTATGAGCAACTCATGAACTTTTTGAACAGCAGGAGACTGTTCATGTCTCTCATACACACACTCTCACAAGTCCTTTTTGTCTGGAGTCTCTCTCTCTCTCTCTGTCTATTTATCTATCTACTAGGACACGTGCTTGCTTTGGTTCACTCCTACTTGGACTGCAAAATAAACATTGATTTTATTAGCTATGCTGAATTTGGCTTCAATCCCTGGCATATGTTGTTCTGCAAGTAAGATTTCATTGTTGGTCACATGCAGGTCCTGGATAGAGGGGAGAAGATTGAGATTCTGGTCGATAAGACAGACACTCTCAGAGATCAGGTAAGACACCGGACACCATCTTTTTGCTTGTTTTAATGGATCATTACCTTCTGCTTTTTTGCCCATTTGTTGTTCTGACTGTCTTTGTGGCTCCTTTTCTTGTTTGTTATTTTTGCAGGCGAACAACTTTAGGACACACGGTACACAGATGAGGAGGAAGATGTGGTTGCAGAATATGAAGATAAAGCTGATTGTTTTGGGTATTCTGATTGCCTTGATTCTCATCATCGTCTTGTCTATTTGCCATGGCTTCAACTGTGGCAGGAAGTGAGAGAGAGAGAGAGAGAGAGAGCTGCTGGGAGTGTTGTCTGTGTGTGATGTGAGAGAGAGATACTGGGAGTGGTCTGTGTGTGATGAGAGAGAGAGAGAGAGAGATACACTGGGAGTGTTGTTTGTGTGATCAGAGAGAGAGAGAGAGAGAGTAGTATTATTAGAAGGTCGTAGTTAGGTTTTGTTTGCATGGATTTTCTTTAGTGGCGAAAAGGTATATACTGGCCGTAGAACTTGTAGGGCTTTTGTTGAAAATTGTTTACACGAATCATATATTTTTTGGACTTGTTTGTTTGGGAAAAGTATCTTCCAGATTACGTTGCCTCTGGCAATATTCTTCAAATATTTCAAATATTCTGTGAATATTTGTGCTTGTTGGAAGAATATGTGTGCCTGAATTCTTTTCGCCCAATGTTTTACTATTTTGGAATTGTAGCTATTTAATTTGCAATATTTTGTCTCATTCTTTGGATATTTGCTGTTCTTTCAAGAAATGCAGTGTTTCTTGTGTTTGTGTACTTCTATATGTGCAGTAGATTAGGAGATATGTTTTCAAGGATATTCATAAACAAACTAACTAGTAGTACTGCTAAGAGATACTTTTGCTAATTCGACGATTGTCGTAATGACAACAACGAAGACAGTGAAAAAAAAAAAAAGTAGTAGCAATTATTTTAATAAATAATATCATAATTGATGTTATTGGGGTTATTGTTGAAAAGAATTTTTAAGTAGAGTTACTTGGATGCATGAACTTGGCAAATACAAGGGACTCTAAACCATAAGACTGCTTATATTAGGTTTAAGAAGATTAGAATCACCTTAGCCATTAGATGTGAGGTCGGGCGGCAAGGAGTGAATTTTGAGAAATATATTTAGATGTCGAGCATGGTTCACAATATGCTGCCTGGTTATGTCCAATAGGTTGGGGTGACCTTGAACCAAATGTAAATGGTCTCATCGTATATAAAGGGTAAGCTTTCCCGCTTTCCGCTTCTCATATAACGTAAAACTTATATACTTCCATTTATCCAACTTTCCATTTTGAATGAAGGGTTAAGATTGCCTCAATCGCAATGTTATGTTGCTACAATTTTTTTTTTTGAAATGTTTTTTTCGACAAGCTATTTTAACACCAAATTTTGTACATCAAATCTTCTATTAAAATTGCACTAGCAAAAAATATAAAAAAAAATATTTTCAATAAAATAAAATGATTAAAATACCTCTGAAAATTTTAAGGGGTATTTTGGTCATTATATTTTATTAAAAAATTATTTAAAATATTTTTTATAGGTGCGAACCAATGAGAAGATGGTGCATATCAAATTTTATATTCATAAAATTTGTATAAAAAAAACTAAAAATAAAATACTTTGAGATGTCGGATCTAAGATCAAATGGTGAGTGGCTCTATTTATCAAAATTGAACGGCTGGATGGTAAGGGAAGAATAGATCTTCTATGTTGTAGGGGGAACATATAAACCTTTCCAAATATATATACTTCTCATGGAGGATTAGTTCTCGTTACAATAGTCGCTAAATCCGGAATTTCAAATTAAGGCATTGATTTCAGAAATGGTTCATATGTTCGCATGGTGTTGAAGAACTTACATTATTATGAAAGTGGTAAATCTCTATAATTTCAAATTAAAGCTATTGATATCATGTCTTCCAAGATTTTGCACGGTAGTGATGGATCCTTGAAAGGCAACTTATCGGGGGCCCTATCCTCGTTTCCTGAGGACCCACTTTTTGATATACGCTTGTTTCGTTGTTCTTCCTTCTTTTTTTTTTCCTTGGTTTTTTTATTTGTACTCCTCTAAATAAAGGGTGGGGTTTGTATAGAGCCTAGGCTCTAAACAATCAAATTAGAGCCTACTTTTAAATAGTATCGAGAAATGTGATTTCAATACTAGAAATCTTTGTGATAGCCTTAGAATATATTTTCACCTTATTAATAAATTTTAAAGCTTAAAAAATAATATAGATTGACAGATCTATGAAAATTTGAAAATCTTGAAAATTGACGGTCCAAAAATGCATTAAAAAATATACTATTTCCAAAACTTGAAATCTTTTTTTTTCTCATGTCCATGCATCTTGATGTCGAGATAATCAATGTGAAGATATTTGGACTTCAAGACAACCTCTTTCAATGATTTTTTTGTGATAGGCTCTAATTTGATTGTTTGGAGCCTCGGCGCTACATAAACTTTTCTCTTGAATAAATTGGGAAAAGGTTTGGATGATGTGGTATTGTGATGCGGTGTTGAGATTTGTTAGAAATGTCTCATTCTTTTTAAAAAAGAAAAGTATACAAATAGGTTATTTACTTTTCAAATAGGATGATTGTAAGAGTGTCATTGACTAGATTCAAAATTTATAAAAAATATTTTAAAATTTATAAAACATCTCAAGCCATCTAATTTAACATCTAATAAGTAGGAAGGATTGTGACCTCCTTTGTAATAAAAATAAATGGTCTCATGGTGTGTTTCTTTCAACCCTGGTTGGTTGTCAGAATGGTCTCGTTCTTGTGTAATTTAGTTTTGGAAAAATATAATTGTTCCATGTGGGTGCTTTACTGTCATGCTTCCTAGCATCTTTGTGAAATATGAAGCTTAATTTTTTATTTTTTAACAAGATTATTTTAAAATGAATAGTATATCTTTTAAAAAAGAAGTTATCTATATATATATATATATATATATATATATATATAAGGATGAAGATATATATAAAGATTTTAAAGTTCTTTCTTGGAGAAGCAATATCAGATTTATGTTTTCTTTATTGGAAATTTTGTAAATTTTTGTTGGAATTTGTATACACATGGTTTTTGTACTGGCAAGTTATGGCTGTATTGAATTTCGGAAAAATCATTCATGAGTCAGCGGGTGCAAGACCCGTTGACTCATTAACAATAAATGTTTTAAAAAAACTTACAAGGTTAAAATGAATTTAGACAGTGTAGAAATTTTCTATAAAAAAATCACATTTTAAATATTTAAAATTTTATTTTATTTTCATATTCATGATCATCTGTACCTAGATTGGAGCACCAGACCCTAGTAGACTGTTACACTTCTCGGATACTTCCAATAAAATTTGGAAACGTTCCAAAGGAGGTGCTAAAGGAAGCTTCCAGGTTCTTATTCTTTTCCTTGTTTGATTTTGTTTTTAAATAATCAAAATTTCAGATTGCAATTTCACAAAGGACAGATCTTGTCCTGTAAGGCAAAATGCTTTATACAAAACGATCATCATCATCACGTCAAAGTTTTTTCTCAACTTATTGGGGTCAGCGGTTTACGCAATAAAAAAACAATTTGTATGAATGTTCGTGTTTGGAAAGTAAAATTTAATTTTGGCCTATATAATAAACTAACGAAGAATAAAAATTATATTGATCATGACATAAAATGGTAAATTCAATGGTTGCAAAAATAAGATAACATGTGATTATGGTACATTGAACCGGTGGCGACCATGGGATACTTTCAAAGATGATCACAATTCCACTGGTAAAATTAAAAAAGAAAAATATGGTAGAAACATATAATTTATCCAAAACTACGAGTGGATCACTAAAAGCTAAAATATTTCATGTAAAATATGGGTGACTAAATATTCCTAAAAAGTATCAAGAAGTCAAAAAATGGTATGTTCATCTAGTACAAAACGTTCCCTGCTGCAATATCCCTACCTTGGGTATTTTAAGACCCATGGTTTGAGGATATAACGTCCTCAACCTAGTGATCAAATCCCAAAAAAAAAAGGAAAAAAAAAGAAAAAAGAATTTATACATTTTCTATTTGCCTAAAAATTTACCCTCTTAAAATTGAACATAGACCCTGTAGTTGTTTGAGTGCCAATCCAAGAAGCTAAAACTCCAATTTTACTTTTCATTAGAAAATGATGCTAAAATGAATTTTAGAATTCTAGATAGAATGAATTGGAGTTTTAGTATGAATAAAACATCCACTTTAGAATTGGATCACAGTATTTCTGGGGTGACACATTTCACTGATTGCCTGAATAAATAAGCCACAGATTATGAGTGACCCAATTCACCCCAAACTTGTCCAGTATGTTGGGTTTATGTGGTCTTTAAAGGCCTTATGAGTGTGTATTGAAATACTTTTATTATAGTGAAATATAAACCCAGTGGGAGTGTGGTCCCTCGAGGACCATACTAAGCAAATGATGTTTGTTTATACCGGATTGTGCTTATCGATCTAGGCCAGACGGTTGGAAAACCCAAGGTACCTGGGCATAAAGAATTAACCGAAGAAGATTTTGGGTTAGCCCTGGATGAGATCGGAGCTTATGCCTAGATGAGAGAGCCGAGGGATTGTGTGACCCTTGTGTGTGATGGTAGGCCTACTGAAACGAGACCCAAAACCTCATCCATGTTCCATCACATGGCATGCATATTGATAAATCGTTCGGGAAAGCCAGATATCCACATTTGGATGAAGTGTATGCATGTGCGAGAGATACCCCTATGGGCCATAAAGCTGTGGTCGCATCAGGTCGTAGTGACCTTGACTCGTCTCTAGGAGAGGACCTGTAATCCACAAACTGGGATTGCGACCTCTTGGCTTATCGGCCAGACTTTGGTGACCCGCTAATGAGCCTCTACTTGGACTGTGGATCATGAGAAACACTAGGTCGGTTTGATAAAACAAGTGTGATTTGTAGTCTATAGTTGAAGGTGGAGTACCCCGTGATCGTTGATAGAATTCCTAAACCATATAGATCCACTTCCCATTATATTAATTTAATTTTATTATTAAATATTTTAGATTTATTATTTGAATTTTTATAAGTCATTTGATATTTTATTTCTTATTTTTGGACCTATAAAAATGAAGCTATTAATTTACAAAGTTATAATGTTTTAAAATTCATTTTGTTTAATTTTAAAATATTTATTAAAAAAATATATGGGGGCTCATAGTGCACATGGGCCCACCATATGCGTATTAGGTGGGGCCCCACATACCAAACATGGGTGGCATGCCCCACCCTTGGGTACCTTCTCTTGTTGCTTTGTCTTCAAGTTTATTAAATATGGTAACTATATCTTGTAGCATATGGTCAAATACTGATTAGGAAATATTGACCATATCTTATCTTGATTATTGAAGGAGTATCTTGACTTGATATTTTTTGAAATATTCTTATGAAAAATATGAGATGAAATATGCAATTTATGGTATACACTACATCTTTAATGGATTTAATTTATTTAAATATATTGATGGGAAAATGGTTTAAGGAAAGGGGGATAATGGTCCATGCACCTTCCATAATGTTGGTGGCCCATCTATGGAATGGATGACTCAGATCTTTCACCCCACAAGTCACATTGATCAACGGTCCATAATCAATCTCAAGAAAGGGGCAAACTATGTGAAACCCTAAAAAAACCATAGGCCAAAATTTCACTATAAATAGGGGTGCTCTCTCCCATCTTTACGCACC